AAAGTAGTTGGGGAAGGTCTGCGGACAATTTGAACTCAATCCCTTTAATCGCGTCGATTTTCTGTTTTTCTTTGCAATCTCTCGTCTGCAGGGTGTGCTATTACTACGGCGATCTCATACATTCCCGCTTTTCAGGAATGGTAGCAGTTCACCCCTACTGGGAAAAGGCTCAACACATGTTTTCTGCCTCTTGCGGTGCTTTGACAACCGCTGCCCCTCTGGCTGTCTGCGCTACAGGGTTTCACAATAGGACCATACGAAAAAGTTCGAGTTGTCACATGACCGTTGGGGAACGACTCTGCTTCTCTGCGCTGTCTTGCCGAAACGAGCCACATTTGAAATTGTCAGTTTGAAGTAACCCCGGCATGTTTCGAAGAAAAACTCAAGAACTGTATATGGGAAAGGTAGGAGCGAACTATCTAACAACAGTCTGCAGGAACAGAGATGCCCAACCCACGGTAAGGCTTTGTTTGTAAAAAAAGACTTAGGATTCACATTTTATATTGTTTTCCGCCAGTTGCTGAAGCGCATCAGTCGCAATACATATCAAGACATAAGGGTCATATCGCTCGTATCAGAAGTTTTTCACCAATTTTCTTCGCTTACCCGCTTAGCAATTGGTGGAAAATTGGTTTGGCGCCGCGCCAAATCCATCCCGCCTGAGACGCCCCTTCATCCGCAGCGAACCATACCGTACGTCCGCAACTGCGCGCTTAAGGACGAAGGGCGAAGTCTCTGGTCGTTTGCGCCCTTTAAGTACTGAATCAGGCGCGAGGAAAAAAATCGATTAGTCCGCCTACATGCAGCCCTCCTCAGCCATATTCGCGCCGACATTATAGCTTCCATTTCATTGTCTTTTTAATAAGTACTACAACAATTCTATACCTTTGCGAAATCGCCGAGTTTTGCAGCAGCCGCGCGACGAACCATTGGTGTATCATCACGACACATCTGACGGAACAGACTGGAAGAGCAACAGTTGGAGTCAGTACAATTTTAAACTTTTTCGACCGTATTAAGCAACTGATTTGTTACCTTCTCAACTCAGCCTTGATGGCAGGGCTAACTCGTGGATAAGCAACGCTGAAAAGACCGCACGCTGATGTGCGCGACGTGAACCAATCGCCTGAGCATTGGAAAATTTCTTCCAAACCAGCTATAAGCATAGTTCTAAGGAATATGTGAATACCCTTACCTGTCGCTAGGCGCTTTAGCATCGGGATAAAGTACTCCTCTAAGGCAGCTGTGCTGTGCTTGTCAGCGATCTTCCGTAAACTTTCAACAGCCTTGTCCCTGACAACCGTTTCTTCTACGGTTGCCAGATTTTCGAGTGGTGGCAACAAACAGTGGACATAATCGGGTCCACCAACCTCAAATTAACCGTAGCAAATAAGCTGTTAGCCGTTTTCAAACACAAGGAAAAACTCACGAGTGGAGTGAAATTCCCGAGTTGATCAGCAAGGATTAGTAAAACTTCATCTTCATCGTAAATTGTATCTGAAAAAACGAAACATGGATACAATCGGAACTGAACAAAACATTTAAAAAGCAAAAAAATGCCGAGATGCGCTATTGCACGCACTAGCAAAGCGTTTACTAGCTAGTTAACGTAAAAGATAGAGCTGACCGTCCGCGGCGCTGCCACATTGAGTGGATTGGGTCCTGACGCGAACGGTGCGCGCATCACTCCTTTTGCAGCACCTCTTTCGCCACGGTCGCTGCAACTCAAAAGTAGCGATATGCACTCGGCTTTCGCTTGGGAAGGGACCACTTCCTCAGTGAGAGGTGGCAGAAGGTCGCGATATGGCATACCTCGGTTACAAGGCATAAGTCAACCGGTTGCTCTCTTTGTGCGAGGGTCTAGAGGTGCATTCTTATTGCGTCTTCTGGTAAAGTCCTTAGAGGAAGGGAAATAAGGAACGGGAAAGAGAAGAGGTAGGAAGAAAAAGAAAAAAAAGAAAGAGGAAGGAACAGATATCCTAAGACCGGCCATACCGTCATACTAGCTAACTTTTAGGAAGGTGAAGTATAGGACTGCATTTCGTTTCTACTGTTCCAGGCAAGGTGAGAACTAAGGTGCGTCTTTACGGCATTGTACTATAGCACAATTTTCACGTTACCTCTCCTGACCTGAGAAACGTAGCGTAACGGTGCATGACTCTGCCTGTGAGTCTTACTTTTTTCCCAAGGCGTTTTCCATAGCGAAAATTAAGAGTGTATTCTGTACGATCCTACCAAATATAAAACGAACGAACCTGTTAGAAACTGGATGAGTTCATTACGAGTACGTTCGACACCGAGTGCGAGTGCTATTGTTGAGAGCTTCCTAATGCTGTTCAATCGTAGATGGACATCTTCATTCCGAAGTTCGTCAATGAGACGGCAATCGGATAGAGGGAATCATCAGATTCGTCATGGCCAGGCGACTGAACAACTGCCGTTGACATGGTCGATAAGTCCGGAACTGAAACTGTCGTACTTTAGTTCATAACGCAGTTCTCCACCTATCCAAACAAAATTAGAGACTTGCTGACATTCGCGTTGCACATTTCAACAAGAATCAGCCTCGCGGAAAGTTTTACAAGGGTGAATTAAAGTAGCCAGGAGATAAGTGAGTGGCCAAGGGACCTAGCAGGTCGCAAAAATGCCACCAGAGCAGCCGAGTTCCCTTTGGTGGAATCACTATTTGATTGATTCTGTAGATCAAACACCTTTCTTTTGCATGTTGCATCCTGCTACAGCTCTAATTAGCTGACTGGAAATGTTTGTCGCTCTTGACTGTCTTCATATCCTTCTCAAATAGACTCTTCATTATTATCCTCCTCAAATAAAGATGTTGAGAAAGGTAGATTACAATTTACCTACCCATTACCTCTTCTTTGATTTGTAATGTTCATTGAAGATCGATAATTGGTTAGCAAAGTGGACGAGTTTACCCGCATTTTGGAGATGTCTCGAGCCATCTTCAAACATGTCGGCCGCGCCCATCTAACTGATTGGTTTCGCTCTCAGTTACGTTTAATTGATTAGTATTAGTTCCAATTAGTGATCATTATTTGCCTTTGTTGTGGTAGCTTGCTTAGCCACTTTATTATGGCCTTGAATATACTCGCTTACATGCATTAGATTTATAGATAAATGAAAGAAATAGAATTCTTATCTTATTATAAAACATTCCACCTCATTTATACAAACCTCTAACTGATTTATTTTGTTAACATTAATTGTAAATGATTTCTTTTTATTTTTTGTTGTGCAGTGAGTCTATATTTTAAATAGAGGCTGAACGTTTTAGAAGAAGCCAGTGGGAGCATTTTCGGTCACATCGGCCACATTACTCATAAATGTAACGTTTGGGGGGGGGGGGAGAAAAATCTCTGCCGCCCCTCTCTTTTTCTTTCCGGAAGGGCTTAGAGCGCAGACAACCATCATCAGACCAGAGTCTCGTAAAGGACACAGTCTCCACCGAGCCTTCCAGATTTTTGAGGCTTGGCAGCATGCAGCGCTGAAGATGTGCAGAAACGATTGTGACTCAGGAGGTGTGGATTTTTGCTTGAGGAAAAAGAAGCTACGCGACGGGAGAACGTACTGGAGACCACCCAGGGACCCTTTCCCTCACCTGAAGCAAAATGTTCTCCCAGGCTCTTAGCAACAAAGGGAAATTCTTAGAAGTTGACTACTAAACTTTGTTAAAAGCCATATGATGTCATATCAATCAGCTCAATAGGATTTTTACGTTGTAAAAGTTTTTACTAGCGAAAAAAGAGATTAGAAAAGCAGTAAAAATGGCTGTACTAACCGCGACATATTCGGTGCACCGACGGAATCGTTGATCCGAAGGTAAATCGGCTAAGTGCTCCAACAAAAGTTTTTTGACGAACCGACATGGAGTTGGTTAGAGTAGAAAGTTTTTAAAAAATTAATGAAATGCATAGGCTGATGTGCAGAACGCAACACATCAGGATTTCGTAACAGCGTGGCGATGCAGACGTGCTTTATGGAAATACAGACTTCGAAACCGTTTTTCCTTGTTTCTTCTTGAATTTAGAAAGACCTGAGGTGGCCGCAATTAGTATATTCTCATGACTAGCAAACTCGTATCGTACCCTTTCTATGGTTAAAATCAGTTAGTTGCACCGTAAAAACAGCTAAATAGAAGGCATAACGAATACTATCGATCGATTACGGTACGGAGAATAATTGAATATATCGTTGGAGGCCTACGTGTGCACATGTAAAAAGGGAATCCAAAGCAAGGACTGTTATAAAATTGAGTAGAATAAGTGAAATGGAGGCGTTCCCACTTTTAAATCACAAATTTCGAAACAGCTAAGCCCGTATGAGTCATTCTGTAAGGCATTTATATGTAATATCATACCTGCTAGTAATATTCTTTTGGTTGTTAGAAATAAGGATGTTAGTAGAGTAATAGCGCTGTTGTCAGGTCGCTATAGTGTAGAATCGATCGGACCGAAAACTCGTCCAGCTCCTGCTGACTCTCCGCTGTGTTCTGCCCTCGCCATCGCCCTCCTCCATTACTCGTGTCCCTCGGCCAATCGGCGATGTGTCATTGAATGATTTCAGGCCAGAAGTGTTTTTGGGTGTTTTGGCGTGATCATTCCCAAGTTTCTCTGAAATTTGCCAGGTTTCTGGCCGAGGATTGTGGGCCTATATGGACCACAGGAGAGCTAGGTGGTCAGCGCTTTTGTTACCGGTAGCCTTAGGAGTCTGAGCTTCTGAATCTTCGAGAGCTACAACGCACTCTCAACCTGAAATTGGAAAAAAACCGTTCCCAAAAGTGATCCGGTGGGAACGTCTTTTCTGGTGAAATACTGCACTGTCGAGTACTACCGGGAGAGGTTTGTGAGATTGTTCCAATTCAGCGTGATCGCTGTCTTTGTGATCTGCAATGTGGGTGTAGCTAACAGGTGGACGAGTTGCTGCGTTGTGTCAGTATTAAATTTTGCGTCGCGTTCAATGTGCATTAGGATCTTGGCTGGAATACCAGCTCCCGGTAATTGCTTCTAACTTTTTCCATGATTTTCTGCTTGAAGGGTTTAAGCGAACATATTTTCGAGACAAGAATGGCGGTTTCCCTTATGTAATTTACGTTGCTATTGGGACGTGACATGCAGTTTTTCATTCAACATGTTCCTTATATTTCGTATGGTATTGGAAATTTGCCGTGATGTTTTTTTGCTATTTGTCGTAAAAATATGTACGCTTCTGATCAATTCGTGGCACGGCACGAATTATTCGTTGTAGTTCTATGTTTCAGACGTCGCATAAATGGCGTCTCCCATTATCTTGGGAGGTCGTGCTCTCGGATCTGGTAGGCACTGGGTTTTCTTCTCGTTCCATATTTTTTGAAATCTTACTTTCACGATTTTAACCAACTTCCATACGATTTGCAGTTTCACGAATAGCAGCTATTCGTGGAGCTGCCACAGCTGCTCCTGCCCCACCCAAGAAGCCCGAGAAGACCTCATTTGGAAATTTGAAGGATAGTGACCGTATATTCACAAATCTTTATGGGCGACGTGACTACCGTTTGAAGGGAGCCCTGGCTCGTGTAAGTATCAATAACTTTTGTGTTCTTCAATTTCGTCTCATCAATTTTCATTACTGTACAGGGTGACTGGTACAAAACCAAAGAAATTATCCTCAAAGGTTCGGAGTGGATCATCAATGAAATACGTACGTCAGGCCTTCGTGGTAGAGGTGGTGCAGGTTTTCCTGCTGGAATGAAATGGGGCTTCATGAGTAAGCCATTCGATGGACGGTTAGTGTCTTTGTTTTTGCGAACTATCGCAGAATCTACAATCTGGCTTCTAAGCTATTCAAAAACTACAATTTGCTTGGCTAACTCGTTGTATTTTGACCATTTTTACCATGCTCGTATATTTGGTTGTTTTCATGAGACCTCTGTTTCAACATTAGCGCTGAGCTCGATGTTGAAATACTGAACTGTCTGCAGAAAGTCAGCTGTCCTTGCATCGGTAAACAAAGAGCCTTTCGAAATACTGCACTATGGAAATATTACTTCTCCAAAAACTCGGGAAAAATTGCTGAAGGCTCGCCGGTATCGGTTATTCGATGCCCTAATCACGAACATGAAATTATTATGCACGTTTATTGGTTTTGTGGAAAAGAAGTGGCGCCATTGGCACCACTGCAAAATCAATAAAAACGTGCACAATTGGGTTGCTTGATCCTCATCACGATCGCATTTATTTTTCGGCACTAGCAACATTTAGCGTTCTGCTAAGGCTGAGCCTGGGACAGTGATTCCGTTCAGAGCAGGCTTCAGCATTAGTAGAGCCAGATGACCGTAGTATCCCTATTTGCCCTGGCACCAGGAGAATGTCAAATTCGTAAGCAGGGTAAAATAAACCCCGTTTACAAGTTCTCAACGGTTTTGATCAAGGGTCTTGTTGCGGGCGCCAGGCGGTTTTGGTGCGAGCGGATGTGATATTCATGCTGAGGAGGTCAAAGAACATCTAGGGACAAGTTTTTAGCGAATTTGGTGACTGGAGTGTTCTAGCACCTGTGACGCGGGTGCCAGGCAGTTTCAGGGAAAGCGGATGTGATATTCTTATTCAGTAAGTCGAACTACCCTTGGACAGTAATTTTCGGCCAAGTCTGCCCCCGTAGAAAAAAAAATCGAAAAAAAACTGGCCTTATTTCGGAAGAATCTAAAAGTAGTAGTTGAACAGTGCCCGAATACTACTTTTTTGCATATCCAACACCTTTTTGCCCACAAGGAATGTAGGCAAGTTTATCAGCGGTTCGATTTTTTGGTCCAGGTATGTTTTTCACAAAGAAAATATAATGTGTATTATCGCAATCAGTCGGGGCGCTCTCTAAGAGGAAGAGGACGAGTCCCTTCGCAACGTTTTCACAATTGGTTGTTTTCTTGCCGTATCGATCACTAACCGATGACCATTGCTTGAGCAAAACAGTCGAAGACGGGCACATCCCGCCTCCAACTGTTTTGCTCTAGCTTTGGCTTCCATCTCAACGATGCCCCTAGTATCTTTTCGCTCAAAACGCCAGTTTTCCCACAGCGCTGGGTCGATACCTACAAATTACTTCTCGCGCGTTTCCACAAAATGCCGTCCTGGGTCGCAAAATATGAGGGGTGTAAATGCCGTCCCGGGTCGCAGAATATGAGGGGTGTTCAGGGTATTCTCGGTATAGGTATGAAGGAAAAAAAACAGAAAATTCTGAATAAAATTTATTTTTCATGTAGTCCCCCATAACCTCAATGCACTTGTTTGCTTGGGAAACTAACTTTTCAACACCCTTTGAAAATATTTTCCTCGTTGCCCCCCAAAATGTGCGTTAGGCCGCGTTCATACCGTGCGACGTCGTCGTCAACGTCGACGAAAGCTGCGTAAGTTGCGTAAGCTGCGACTGGTTCGTGAATAATACATACGTATCGATCCAACGAAAGCTGCGTAAGTTGCGTAAGCTGCGTAACCGACGACAGCTTCACGCAGACTAGATACATATCGATTTGACGAAAAAGCTGCGTAAGTTGCGTAAGCTGCGTAAGTTGCGTGCAGACGTGGCGCCACGTGGCACCACGAGTGCCTTGATAAGAACTCCATGAGGTTCACAAGTCAGAGCAGAGATGTTCCTAATAATCTTGGTTTATTCTATTTATTTGTTTATTTGTTTATGTTTATTTATTTATTATTTATTTTTATTTATTTGTTTATTTTACCGACGACAGGGAGTTGACATATAGGTGACAGGTGGATGTATATGAAGTAAATATGCTTATATACTAGGATGCCACGTCATAAGCCACGTCATGCTATTTTTCTCGAAAAACAGCAAGGATAGAATGGATTGAAGATAAATTGAGATGATTAAAGGAAATAGGAAAAGGAAAGAAAAAAAATGAAAAGGGGAGAAGTATTCTCAAAATGCAAAAAATGGCCCTACAGCCACTTCCGTCGGTTTCGTCGGATCGATACGTATCTATTCTTCTCGAAGTTGTCGTCGGTTACGCAACTTACGCAGCTTTCGTTGGATCGATACGTATGTATTCTTCACGAACTAGTCGCAACTTACGCAGCTTTCGTCGGATCGATACGTATGTATTCTTCACGAACTAGTCGCAGCTTACGCAACTTACGCAACTTAAAAGACGTCGCACGGTATGAACGCGGTTGCCGCCTTGAGCTCTTCATCGTCAGAATAGCGCTTTCCACGAAGATCATTTCTTAGGTTGGGGAACAAGAAGCGATCTCTGATCATTTTCTCAATTTCCTTTTCATTTTTCTTTCAAATCAGTAATCATTTCTTGAACATTGTCGCATCAGTCATTCTGGTCTTCTTTCACCAAGGATAACTATTGCGTTGGCACATAAGTAATGGCGTTTTTTTCAATTGAAATTTTGTTCCAAAAGTGAAATGTTTTGCAAGCAAGTTGATATCATCTGATAGGAAACTTCTCGTACTATAAGAATATCAAAACAGCTTGAGTGAGGAAATAATTTTTGTAAGTTTTTTAGTCGTTGAAGTTGAAAGTTGAGTCGGCGAAAATCAGTACCTTCGACAACTGCCTCTATTTCCGTCTATTCAAAGTGGTAAAATCGCTTAAAGACAGCTCCCGCGATAAAAGTGGCAAGAATAATTGCTGATCAATTATGAAACAGTAGCTGATAAGTAATTCCTCAATGAGGGAAAAAAGCAACAAGAGCCCTCAAGAACACCACAAACAAAATTGCTCCCTTACAGTTACACCGCCCTGCGATCCGTGGGCAACCCCTGGCTCGAAAATCTCTTTATCACATCTCTCAGTAGTGGATATCATCCAATGCAATGAAAAGAATACGAAAAACAATAAAAACTCGGAAGAAAAACTCCTGAAAGGCAAAAAAAAACTTTCAAAGACACGGCGTCCGAATTTGGGTTACGGTAGCGAGCGGCTTTTAGTGCATGTTGCTAGTCGAGCTTTTGCACCACAAAAATTGCATCACTCGTGATTTTATGCGTTTTACCTTACGAGATGGTTGCATTTGACTGTATGTGCTCTCAATGAATGAAATGTGATAAAGGAGAGCAGAGTTATCTAAGGGCACCATCGCGGTCTGCAAAAATGACTTGCAATCCCGAGTATTGCCCGCCGTCCCAACAAAGAGCAACTGAGCGGCTCTCCGTCAGAGGGCAGCTAGCAAGTGAGGCGGTCCAACTGAGCGGGCGTTAGAACTAGAACTTTGAGCGGCTGTAGCTCGCTTCTCGCTCACTGTGGAGTTGCGAGAGTGGGACAGCATCTAGCTTGGGGGCTGAACTACCTGCACAAGGAAGGACGACCATGGACTACTTGAGCGCGGGGCTGTCTTTAAGCTGCTCTATAGATCTTAAGTAGGTTGAGCTAGAAGTTGCAGCAAGGGAATCCTCATAGAACGCTTCAGAACTGATTTCAAGAATTTCAAAGTTGGCAACCTTCAGCTCGCAGGATCACAAGTCATCGCGTCTGTTTCACTTGAAATTTTATGCTAATACTTGAATGTTTCGCTAATGTGTTTTGCATGCTCTGATAGCAAATTTCGTGCTCTATAACGCTGCAATAAAATCTGTTTTCCATAGCTGTTTACTTTTAATTTCAGGTTATTATTTCAGGTTTCAGGTTAACAAGGAATTTCAGGTCGGTGAGAATCAGCATTCCCGACTTTTCTCCCTACCGCTTTCCACGGAAGCTTCAAAGCCCCTGGAGCAGCTCAATAGATTCGCCATGGTTCGAGTAAAGCATTGAGTAAGAGATTAATATTAGGACGGCTCACAATTGATTTTGAGAAAAAGCAAAACCGACAACCTTGCAGGCATCTTCGACCCATAACTCACACTTTTTTTTTGTTTTCCGGAGTAAATTTCAAACAGTTATGAGTCGTCCTGATATTAATCTCATTCAATGCTTTACTCGAACCATGGCGAATCTATTGGCTGCTCCAGGGGCTTTGAAGCTTCCGTGGAAAGCGGTAGGAGAAAAAGTCGGGAATGCTGATTCTCACCGACCTGAAGTTCCTTGTTAATAACCTGAAATTAACAAAAAAAACAGCTATGGAAAACAGAATTTTATTGCAGCGTTATAGAGCACGAAATTTGCTACCAGAGCATGCAAAACACATTAGCGAAACATTCAAGTATTAGCATAAAATTTCAAGTGAAACAGACGCGATGACTTGTGATCCTGCGAGGTGAAGGTTGCCAACTTTGAAATTCTTGAAATCAGTTCTGAAGCGTTCTATGAGGATTCCCTTGCTGCAACTTCAACCTACTTAAGATCTATAGAGCAGCTTAAGCGATTTTACCACTTTGAATAGACGGAAATAGAGGCAGTTGTCGAAGGTGCTGATTTTCGCCGACTTCACTTTCAACTTCAACGACTAAAAAATTCACAAAAATTATTCCCTCAACCGAAGCTGTTTGATATTCTTATACTACGAGAAGTTTCCTATCAGATGATATCAAACTTGCTTGCAAAACATTTCACTTTTGGAACAAAATTTTCAATTGAAAAAAAAACGCCATTACTTATGTGCCAACCCAGTAGAATGGCATTCATGATAACTAAATGAAATGTTGTATTTATACCTTCAAGGAGTGTTGTTGCCTATTGGAGTGACCTAAATTCCTTCGTCACAGCTAAATTACCCCGACACCGAGAATACTTTGCAGGCCCTCATATGCTCATCCTGGTTATCACTGTTGTGACCTTTTTTGTTGCTCTAAAATTTTCCCTTTGAAATTCACACTTTTGGATCTTTTGGCTTTCTTGGAGTAAGTGCTATGAAACACCATTTGTTTCAAAGATCTATTTTCGCTGCTTTCATTAATTCATTTCCACATAAATTTTATATTACGTTTCTATATTATTATATTCTGCTTATACGCATTCCCATTAATCGATAGGTGTAGTTCGGCTGGGGAAGGAAGGATTTGGTACTTCCGCTACTTTCCATCTTCGTTTTCATTACTTTACAGCAGTTGGCGAGTAGTTTCTACAAACTTTGACTGTACCGCTTCCATGGCACGATTCCACAAATCACTTTTTGATTGCTGGACGTGATGAGGGAGGACGCAAACTGTTCCCTCCACCCACGTCGAACTGCGCCAATCGACATAACTTTCTGTTAGGCACCTATTTCATTTTGTCTGGATGAGATCCATTTGTGTTGTGAGAGGAAACTCATTAGTTAATCGTTTTGTTCCTTTTCTATCACTGCTCTTATTCAGCCCAAAATACCTGGTTGTGAACGCTGATGAAGGGGAGCCAGGTACTTGTAAGGATCGTGAAATAATGAGGCACGACCCTCACAAGGTATGAAATAGCCCTCTCACTTTTAAACTTGTAGATTTGTTAGTTTACTCTAGATTTTCTATGGAGTGATCCTTTCAGCTGATCGAAGGATGTCTGATTGCTGGTGTTGCTATGGGGGCACGAGCAGCTTACATCTACATTCGTGGCGAGTTCTACAATGAAGCCTGCATTCTTCAAGAGACTATCAATGAGGCGTACAAAGTAAGTGCTAGTCTGAACTGTTTCGTCTGGTAAGATGTTTTTGTAGGGATGTATGTTCTGCATATTTATGGGTGGGGTAGACTGGTTCAAGGCGTTATTTCCCGGAAAAAGAAAGTGGCAGTGAAGTACTTACGCTGAAAATTGCCAAAATTGTTTCGAGCGACGAAGAAAGTATGGGTGTTTTTTATATTAATATTTTCTTCGTGGACCCCGGACTGAAGGTGAGCGCTGGCGGTTACATCGAGCAACTCGAGAAGAATATCCTCTCCACATGTCGTCGCCCGTACCTTCTTGGAAACTTTGTACTGCTACAGGATTGGGTGACACCACATGGAATCGAAGGGCGTTGGAAAACTCTCGCCTACTTGGAATGGAAGGGCGATGAGTACCTACAGGGAATGGAATGTCCAAGTAGTTCACCTGATCTAGGCCCCCTCAATTACTCGGTTCGGGCGGAGTTCAATAGGGTGGTCTACGGTGGCGGAGAAATCGACTATCTCGCTGATCTCAGGCACCACATCGCGGTCGCGTGCCAGAATCTCTCGATGGCGCTAACCCATTGCGTACCGCGGCGTTTTCTCGGAAACGGGCGCCTGTGGCCGACGCGACCCGTGGCGCGCCAAGTATAAACAAATAAGATTTTTATCATATATTAGGTTGTCCCAAAAGTTCTGGGACACTTTTTGAATCTCGTATCAGATTTTTCCGCAGCCATTTCGAGATCCAGTTATGTGGTCTATGGGAAGTGTGTGAGGTAAGCATTCCACAGCTTCTTCACCGTCCCTCGCAGTCGCTGTTCTCATATGAAAAACGGTGAAATTCATCATTTTCGACACACTTCGCTATATGAATCTCTACCAAGCCACAACGTGGTTGGAGCCATAAGCGGCATTTCCCTTATTTAGATCTTGATGTTAGCTTCCACAGTACGGCTTTGGAATGGCTCAATTGCTTCCGCTTTAGTGACTTCTATCCGGGTGAAAAACTTCGTCCAAGGAGGCCACCTGCCTTGGATTTGGACCTACTGTGTTCCTTGATTAAAACCAATTCGTACGAATCAACTTGCTACCTAGTCCTTACACTTGACTGGTCCCAAAGCACAAATGAGAGAAGGCCTCGCTCCCTTAGAAAAGTTCTGAAGTTCGGTCAAAATTTTTCTCATGAGTTGACCAGTACTCCAAGGGGAGCACATGTGGGTACTGTCTACAACTTCTTTCCCGCTTCCGCTGTACGGGCTGGTTGAACAGCACTGTAACTGGATATGGAGTGGGTGCCTCTAGATGAATCACTCCTGGGAGCGCCAGCGGCTAGATCCCCAGAAAGGGCAGAACCGATCGCGCAATCCTATCAATCCAGTAGGGCGGTGAGGCTGTGTATGTGGTGGGGTACCTTTCTCCGCTCTCGAAACGGAATTCCTCCTTCCAACGCTATGGTAACCAGGGAGCCCTATTGTAATCAACTGCAAAGTGGGGTGGAAAATCTCTACCATTTGGTCCCAAAACCGAGCAATGTTTGCCTACTCCACCACACCTCAGGGTCAAACATTTGGAAAACGACACTGCTTGAGATCCCGAAGCCTTAGCTGGGAATCCCACCACATCCTCCATGTAGCCCTGACTGTTTAGGCTCTTTCGATCGCCATCTAACTAATCCCCAGCCACGGCATCATCGTTCCTGGGTATAAAAAATCGATTTTTAGATTAGTAACGCCTCTCAAAAATGACCCGAACCAGCTGCCTTTCTGGGCACAGAACCAAGAGGCTTCTGGAAGCAGGGCAACCACACATTGCGTAGTGATTGGCAACAAGTTGCCAATGAAGGTGACATATATATAGTTGATCAAAATTGCTTCCCACTGGAATAAACTTAATTCGAAAAAAGTTTGAAAGTGTCCCAGAACTTTTGGGACAACCTAATACATATGACATAAAAATAATGCATATACTTCGTATTATACATTACACTTGTATGCATGACTGTGATAAGTAAAACTGGATACCATTACGTGATAAACGTGATGGGCTAAAAACATGCGAAAATTGACAAAAAGGTTAATAAATTCAAAAGGGATTGGAAACAGGACGTAATATGTTTATAAATTGTTCAGCTTTACTATTTTGCGAATTTTTAGTGGAGTCACAGCCAGAATTTTGGCTTGACTGGTTACTAAGAAATAAACAAAGGATATAGTAGCTGAAGAATTTCCCGAAAATTTCGATAACTCAGCTCTAGTTTGGTCCCGCAATTTCCCACACATATATTTCTTTCCGGGAGACTTCACAAATATACTGACACTCTTGAGTCAGCGAACAATGCTAAATAAGTTCAAACGAAGCGTGCTGCACCATGTGTAGCACGCGGCCATACAGAGGCAAACGAGCGTGCTGCACATGGTGCAGCACGCGGTACGCAATGGGTTAATATGCTCTTTAATATGGTGGTGGAAATGTCCGATCAGAATTTAATAAAGTGTAACTTATAGCGCCTCGAAAGTCAAGAAGAAAAGTGACTTTTTTTGCCCCCCCCCTCCCCCGCCGGTATATTTGGCGTCCTGTGGTCTTTCAGGTACTGTGTGTAGCACGCGGCCATGCAGAGGCAAACGGGCGTGTGGGGGTGTAGAGGTCTGTACCAAATCTCAGAACGTTTCATGAAAATCGCGTGAAATCAAAAGTTCTTGGCCTTTCCAGGCTGGCTACATTGGTAAGGACTGCCTGGGTACAGGATACTCGTTTGATGTGTTTGTTCATCGTGGAGCTGGTGCTTACATTTGTGGCGAAGAAACGGTGAGTAGGTTGCCCGCATAGCCTTGACTAGTCATTATTATCTGGAAATCGAATTGAGGGTTTTTCTTGGTTATCCTTTTTCTCTGGACCACCTTTCTGCATTAAGTGCTGCGAATTTGTCGCAAAAGCAAACTGGTTTTCCTCTCTCAAGGAGAATCTTTCATTTTCCCCTGGGTTCCTATGTAGTTTTAGTTGCTAGAGTTTTTAGATGGTTTGGGTTAGTTGATCGTAGTTTGCATCGCCATACGTTCTTGACGCCATGTGAACAGTAGCGGCTTGTGCCTTCCTCACAAAATGGGCGTTAGCAGGTGTTTAAGTGGAACTTTGTGTGAAGCACGGAGGTTCTTCATCTTCTCTGGGTCTAGTGCATTATTAGAGGGAACGGGTTAGCTTTTTCTGCAAAATGGATAAAATTAACCATCTTGTCTTGATTCAGCTTTTTATTCAGCTCTGTTATCAAGTTATAGGCGTTGCTAGAGTCGATGGAAGGAAAGCAAGGCAAACCGCGTCTGAAGCCGCCATTCCCAGCTGATATTGGATTGTTCGGTTGTCCGACCACAGTTACGAACGTGGAGACTGTAGCCGTTTCGCCAACAATTTGTCGCAGGGGTGGTGAATGGTTTGCTTCATTCGGACGAGAACGCAATCGTGGAACAAAGGTAATTGATTGGTTGTGTTGGTTACTTTGGATGGTGTCCAAGTTAGTTTCGTGATTCGGGAGCACACGCTGCATTCGAATAATCAAACGAAGTAGACACGATTGCTGGGGCGGGCCATGTGGCCAACGTCATTGATGGAAGGACTGAATGGAGTGTGGCCAAACGCCGTCTCGCAGCCCTTCTACCAATCACGCTGACAGTAAACGCTCTCCTCCAGTAATCGTGCCCATTGCATTCAGAAGACCACGGAATCTGAAGTTTTTCTCATGCACTATAGTGGTTCTTAAAGACAATTCCCGCGATCAAGTGTTCGGGTAATTGGTGCTCAGTCACGAAGCAGTGGCCCATTTGTAACCCCCCAGTGGAAAAAAAATCGAAAAAAAACCTCGAACACCCTGAACACAGACCTCCCTCTAGCAGTGGGGGCGGGGCCTGGACGAGTGTGCCGGACGTGGCTGCCAGAAATCGATGCGGCAGAATTGCGTCCCGGCTTTCGAAATAACATACTTTCAAATAAGAATAGGATACTTTTTCCAATAATGGTAGCAGTCTTTAACAAAGTTAAGATCGTCCAATACTTTTCGCTTTTTTCGCTATTTTTCGAAGTTGGAGTGTTTTCGTGCAGCCAGTAAACAGATGATTCCTATTTTAATCTCTGCCATTACCTGCTTCATTTTTTCTTATTATTATTAGACGACTGCATGGTTGAAAAAGTACTTTGTCCGGCTTTCCAAAGTGACAAAATAAGAGCTTATTCAACACCTTTACGGCTGTTCAACGGCGCCATTCTTTCGCATAGCTGCGGCTGCGTGCCATTGCGTACACTGCGGAGCTACAGTAACCCACGTCTAGTTCCATTACTCCTCGGGGACGTAGCATCTTAATGAATTTTTATTATTATGATCAAAGAGTGACATCTATGAGTATTTTTTTGTCCTAGACTCTTCCTGTGCAGTAGCCTTCATGGGCGTTTTCAAGGAAGGAAGCGGTATCATTAACCGTAAGATACCTCTATCGCGTAATTCACATACGCGTAAAGGGATCAAACGCATTACGAAGTAAAAGAAATCAAGAGAAGCAAGTACAACTTGTAGACTAAGTTCTTCCAAACATGGCAGTTGTCC